TCTCTGAAGTAAGACATCTTCTTGGGAAATCAGATCACAATCTTGTTTTTCTCTGCTCAGATCATAAGCCACTTTTTAAGAGACAACCTGCATTAAAAGGAACTGTAAGAAAATGGTCACAGGAAGCTGAATTGGCCCTGCAAGATTGTTTTGAGGCTAAAGACTGGGATGTACTTTGTCAACCACAAGAAAAAGGCATGAAAGCAATGAGAGTGTGACTGATAACATAAACGTATGTGTAGATAAAACCATTTCTACCACAACAGTGAAATGCTTCCCAAATAATAAACAACAAGTGATCTAATGCAATCGCTTAAGAAAAAAACAAGCCTTCCAAGAAGGGAGACATGGGTTTAATGAGGAGTATACAGAAGCAACTTCAAGGTATTGTGGATGATTTTTTGTAAGACCCACCCTCTCCACTTTAAAAATAAATGCACGTACAAGAGCATGCACAATGTAATGGGGACTAGGAGTCCCATTACCCCATGAAATATGATTATTGATTTTGTGTTATGCAATATTAAGTCGGAACAAATAGGTGGGTTGTATGAGTTCTTTGTTGTAGTTTTGTTTGGACATTTTTGGCAAGCTTTCTTGTGAAGCAGAAGGACTGGCCATCCTGCTTGTGGAAAGAAAGTTTAAACATTAATGTCAATTATTTGACCTTACTTTCTGTTTATGATAAGTCAAAGTACCTACCTTTTCCTGGTTTGGCTCCTCAGCAGGACGTGGCTGAAAAAGGTAGGAGGGCTCCAGGTGCTGCAATGCACTTGGAGCAAACCAAAATTATCAGGAGGGTAGGTTGGGATTAGTTTTGTTAAGTTTGATGGGTTTTGTGATTGACTTTAGATTTGTTTAATTGTATTGTATGTAAATATTACTTCAGGTTTATAGTTTATTGTTTTTGTGTAGGTTTGCTTCTTTTTCTTAATAATCCTTTTTCATGGTTCCTTCCTTCATGTCACCTGAATTGAGTTTGGTATAACATGTTTGCTCTGTTTGAAAACCTGGGATGCGTCCTTAGAAGTCCGGATTCGAAAGACGATTAAGTCATAGCGCAGCGCCAAGGTCTGGTCGGATTCCAAGACTCCTCGTTATGCGGCCTTAGAATGCGTCCTTCTTTTTGCCCGATCTGAAGGACGGGTCTGATGTATCCTCGGTATCCTTGGCTTACCCAGGATTCATTGCTAGACCAAGCAAGCCGGCTGTTCCGTGATCAGAAGAAAGGTTAATTGGCGCCGAACAGTGGTGAAAATTGGAAGTTTAGTTTAATTTAATACAAGTATGCGAATAGTTCCGTCTGAAATGAATGAAAATAGTTGTTTTAATGGTCAGATAAGCGGCGGTAATGTTTGATTTATCTAAAGGTTTTTTATCTGTTGCTGTGTAAATGGGTTTGGCTGTAATCTAAAGACATATTCTAACATATCTGCAGTGCGGGGACTATAAATCTGATAGTTTAATTTTTTTATTGCTGTTTTGAACAATATGCTTAACTACTGTAAGTATTTTTTTTTATATTAGAGATTTTGCAGATATATTTTTATACATACATTGTTTAGATTTACTTATATATTTCTCCACCTTTTATAGAATAGAAAAATCCCTTTATTGTTCCACAATTGGCAAATTTACAGCAGCAGAAAGATTGTTGAAAATGGTCACACAAATGTGGACCTTAGAAAAATGTATAAGAATAACATAATAGGGAAGACTTAAAATATAAACAATACAATTCTATAAAGTGTTTTAACAATATAAAACTGGAGAGTAAATAACCAATATGCAGCTATGGACATTTTTACAGTTAAGGATATTTGAAAATAGTAGCAACATCAGAGATGTGCAGAATGACAGCAGCATGTTATTTAACTGACTAAGGTTTCTATCATTACATTTGATTTTATTTGTTCATGCTCCCGATGGTTGGAACATTTATTCCACTCTGGATTCCTGTGAGTGTAGTCTTTGTTCACTTTATAATAAAAAATAAATAAACAAACAAATAGTTTTGAAAACTTCGGTTTTCATTCTTTTCCTGCTTTGTGTGTCAACTTTTATGGTTGCTAAGCAACAGAGCATACTGCGGTAAAACCCGCAGAAGGGTAGACCTGTTCGAATTCAGAGCCAAAACACTTCTGGTCTCCTTATTTTCACGGACTTCAAAGGATCAAGTCTAGGTAGACCGCGTCCTTGGAGGATGCAGCCCAGGATTTAGAACAGAGCCATTGTTTGCTCTTTTTATTGTATGAAGATGTTGGTGTGCACAAGATGGAGTTCAACAAAGCCACCAAAACGTCAGTTTTGTCTTGCCTCTCCATTAAATATTGGGCCTCTGCCGGTCAAGCTGACACACAAGCCCATTTCTCCTTGTGCACTCCCTGTTTAAAATGTGCTGTTTTCATAGCTCATACAAGCTTACTGTATCCTCATACAGCAGGGACTTTACAGTGGACTTTATAGCAAACTCAATTAACTGACTGTTCAGACAGATGATCACTGCTTTCTGCCCCGTGGGTCATGTAACTCCACCGTGCGTTACCTGCAGCATCTTTGTTATTACCGTATTTTCACAACTATAAGGCGCATCTTTTTTTTCCCCTCAAAATGTGTGGCGCGCCCTACAGTGTGGTGCGCCCTATGTGTGTTGTTACTGCGGACAATGTTGAGACCACCATGAGAACGTTAAAGGGGGAAGTGTGGGCGTGGATTGTGTATAAAAGAACAGGTATGTGCTTTATGCAGAACTCCTCATTGAGGAGATGATGAAAGAGTGGCTGAGGGAGGTGAATGTAAAGAGACCAGTTGGTTTTTTCCACGCATCACCATCGCTGTTAATCTGTGACTCCATGCGTGCCCATCTCACAGCCGATGTGAAAAACATGGTGAAACAAACAAATGTGCTTGCTGTTATTCCGGGAGGTCTGACAAAGGAACTTCAACTGCTCGACATTGGTGTGAACCGGCCGTTCAAAGTAATGCTACGTACACACGTCTGCTGCTTGTAACAGTTAGTTCTGACGCGCGGCTGAAGCAGCTTTGCTGCTCTGGCTGCGCGGTGCAAAAGTGTGTCTGACGCGTGTTGGTTGGAGCTGCTCTGTCCTTTCTTTGCCTTGCAGCTATATTTGCTGTGATCAGTGGAAATATAGTAGTTTTAATATGTTTTTAATTGAGAAAGTCCACCTGAAAACTTAATCAGTGCAGTCAGTTCATCCAGATTACGATCCTGCCTTTCAATATTATTTCTGTCGGAGCCGCTCAGACCCCCACATATCAGTAGGAATCCCATTCAACAGCAGCCTCTGGCTGGGTTGCCTCCTCGCGGTTCACCGCAGCAGCTGGTAGGTGTTTTTCATCTAAATAATCTAAACTGCAGGCACCAGGATAGTAAAAGCTAACATATTCTGCTGGCAGATTTCTGCATTTTAAGTTAATTTATGCGTCAATAAACTGTTTCAGAGGAGTGATCACAGCGCTCTGTGTCATCTGCCATGTGTCTGTCACACGGCCTGCTCCCAAGTTTGATTAATATTTTGTAATAAATACATGAATAAAGCACAATCATACTCAGTTTTTCTCCCGCTCTATTTTTAAATACGCAGTAGAGGTATTTAACCGTAGTAGAGGATACATACCGGTATATAAAACCCGCGCCCTATAGTCCGGTGCGCCTTATGCGTGTGTTAAATACAGTAATGCCATACATAACTGAGACTGCGCCTTTTAGTATGGTGCGCCTTATGGTGGTGAAAATACGGTAGTTGCTGTTGTAGGGTAGCGACAGCCTATGGCAACTGTCTGCTGTGACAGCAAATCACATAATGCTTTGCGAGGAGAGCTCTCCATGTAAAGCATTATGGGATAGATCTGCCTATTCCGAGGCCTTTGTTTTCTTCTCATACACTTCATAGAACCTTTTTCTCTTAGGACCCTTGCCCATTTTCAAAGAACCATGGCGAGGCCCCAATGATTGTCTGAAACCAAAGATCACCACACATATGCAGCTGAAAGTGTGCATGCACAGAAAAAGATAGCTAACAGGTAGAGCACGTAGAACGGCCTTACTCAAACATATAACCAGGATGAATGACATGAGGACAACTTATTTAGATGATCCACCCAGAAATAAAATATCCTCCTTTATACCTTTAAGATCAAGATAAGAGAAGGCAAGGAGCCAGACAGGAAGAACCAAGAAAACATTCTACAGCAGAACAATATCAGAGATGTGGGGCGAGGGATGAAGAAGATCACAGGCTTCAAGCTGAAAGATAATCAGGCAGTTTGAAGTTTGGACATAGCAAATTAACTAAATACGTTATTTAATAGGTTCAGTTTAGGAATAAGTTCAGTATCTTTCTCTCCTGCCCATTGTCATATAACTTCACCAGACTCAGGTGGATACATCAGCAATTGCCTGGGTCAAAGAGTACATGAAAAAACAGACCAGCGTTTGTTAAACTGAAGGGTCAGCTGTCCAATCAAGTAGTCAGCAGTACAAGAGCACCACAGCGGATATTACTCTGTTCATTCCTTTATATGCTGTCTGACTTCCAGTAGACTTCCTGCAGAAATACTCAGATGACTCTGCAGTTACTGCTTGCATCAAATATGGACAAGAAGATGAGTACAGAGAGCTGGTGAAAAGCTGTGTGGCATAGTGTGTAAACAATAATTTGATCCTAAATGTCAACAAAACAAGATACATTCTTGTAGACTTCAGAAAAAAAACAGGAACACACTGAAACCTTAATATTCTTGGGGACGATATTAATGTACACATTTTGGTATTTATGCACCTTGGTTAAAGCTGCTGAAGCTGTTTCTACGTACTTAAATATTGTAACGTATTTCGATTGTGACCTGCTGTAAAGCGAATTATTTATTGGGACATGAATACAGATCATTCTGGTATGGTTTTTATTGGTAGGTTTTTAGTATATTTAAAATAAGAAACTGGAGTGTTTCAAGATTTGGGATCATTTAATCAACAGTGGTCAATGTTCAAATTAAATTTCAATATTGTAGCAGTTGGAATACTTTAATAAGACAGCAGGAATATTTGTAGAGCTTTAGTTCTTGTATAGTGTATCCCATAATCTTTGCAGTCAAAGTCATGGAAACAGAGACATAAAAGAAGAGAACATAGATGTAATGCACATCATCCATAAAAACAACAGGTAAACATTACAATTATAAAGATGATAAACTCCTAAATGCCTTATGGCCACACAACCCAACCAGTCATAACTACTTATTTCCCAATAAAATCATCCACATGCATCATCTTTATTTACACAATATATTCCATATTATAAACCTTAAATCTCAACCGATCAACGTAAATATTAACTATCTAGGATTTCATCTGGCCTTTTGAATCCAAAAATTTTAAAATCCCATTTATAGAGTTTGTACAACATCCTCCTGTCCTCTCGAGGCACCGTTTTAAACCATTCCTTGATCAAATTCGATGTAGTTGCATTTTTAGTGGGTGGAAACTTAATTTCGTTTTCCACCTCTAACATTTTAAGAAGCTCTTCAGCATCTTCCTGAAGCGTCTCCTGGTGACCAATAAAATCATACCTGTAAAAAAACAAACACTGTTTATAAAGATATTTGTTCCAACATTTCATTTTTTTGTTCTGTTTTACAAATGTTTTTTTCACTTAAAAAAAAAAAAATCTTACTCTAACATGCAGGGGTGACACAGGTGATGCATTTGTCTCCAGTGCTCGTTAAAGGGCACATATTTTTCTGTTCGTGGGTCCAACAAGTACTGAACAAAGTTGTAAAATGTTGGTTGCAGTCCTAAAGCTACTGCCTCTTTCTGTGTTTTGGGAGGATGAGACTGGTTACGGTAGAGTTTCACCATAGTTTTTCCGTAAGATTTATAAAAGGGCTCATTTATGGGTTGGAACTTGTCTCGGAAAGCAGAGATAAGGCGAACAAATGGGTCCCGAACGAAGAGAAACTTCGTGTAGTTCATCAGCCTGATCTGTAGAAAAAAAAAAACAATTCAATCATACTGGACCTTAGTTCCCAAATGTAACTTTTGATACCAAACAGGGATAGATTGTTAACATATCAAAAAAGTGTAGTAAGCACACTTTACAAGTAATAATACTTTCTCCACCTGCATCTGGCCAAAATTAAATCTTTTTTAAAATTTTGGACTTGACTTGGAGGTTGGAGACATGAAGTCGGGGTGGTACATGTTCTCCTCCTCCATGGCCAATGCGGTTATCTGTAGGTGTGGCTGCCAGTCCCCGAACCCAGTGGTGGCGCCCGGAAGTAAGGGATGCCATCAAGCTGAAGATGGAGGCCTACCTGGCCTTGTTAGCTAGTGAGACTCCAGAGTCAGCTGAGAGGTATCGGCAGGCCAAGCGTACTGCAGCCTGTGCAGCCTCGAGAGTGTTCTGGCAAACCATCTGCTGCCTTAGGAGGGGGAAGCGGTGCTTCACCAACACTGTTTACAATGCGGGTGGGGAGCAGCTGACCTCAACTGGGGACATTGTTCAGCGATGGAAGGAGTACTACTAGGATTTCCTCTATCCCATCACCACGCCTTCCGAGGAGGAGGCAGAGGCAGGGGACAGAGGCAGACTCGCCCATCAGCCAGGCTGAAGTCACCAGGGTAGTTAGAAAGCCTCCTGGTGGCAGGGCCCCGGGGGTGGATGAGATTTGTTCTGAGTACCTTAAGTCTCTGGATGTTGTGAGACTGTCTTGGCTGACATGTCTCTCCAATATCGCGTGGTGGTCGGGGACAGTACCCCTGGACTGGCAGACCGGGTGGTGGTCCCTCTCTTTAAAAAGGGGGACCGGAGGGTGTGCTCCAATTACAGAGGGATCACACTCCTCAACGTTGCCGGTAAGGTCTACTCCAGGGTGCTGGAGAGAAGGGTCCTGCCGATAGACGAACCTCAGATCAAGGAGGAACAATGCGGTTTTCGTCCTGGTCATGGCACACCGGACCAGCTCTATACCCTTCATCGGGTGTTCGATGGTTCGTGGGAGTTCGCCCAACCAATCCACATGTGTTTTGTGGACCTGGAGAAGGCTTTCGACCGAGTCCCTCATAGTGCCCTTTGGCAGGCGGGGGGTGGGGGGAGTCTGGATGATCGGGAAGTCTGCATCTTTGCTTAAGCTGCTGCCTTCATAACTCGGCCCCGGATAAGCGGAAGAAAATTGATGGACTTTTGTAATACTTTCAGTATAGTGCTTCTCTGTCTTCTAGAAGCATCTCCAACATTACAGAACATGGATGACTGCCTTTTAACCAACAACTCTAGAAGTGAGCATATAACCCCTGACTTATCCCCTTTTCACTGTTTTCCTGTCCATTTAAGAACTCAGTTTGAACTTTTGTTGTGTTATTTGTTTTGAAAGCTGTTAATGTTTGATCTCTACCTTATTTAGTTAAATATTTACAGTAGAAATGTCTGTACATAGCAAATACCTAAGGTTATTGAATCTACTTTTATCAGATGTCCTTGTACTTACGTATAGTAAGCATTGTTGCTGACCGAGAATTGTTATTTTTAGCAACTCATCTGTCGAATAGACTTCCTTTAGACTGGGATCTGCAAAATTTTCATATCCAAAGAGCCTTTTTGCCTTGAGTCCAGCTTAATCAACGTCATATAGAGCCACAAACTATTTATGACTTTTTAATAAAACACAGTGTATCATTTTTTTTAAATATCTACAATAGGAAAACTGTTGCTGTTTTAAACAACCTCTCCTATAATAGTTTATGGGTTCTTATAGAGACGAACCAAAGTAAACATTGTTTCCTATCTAGATACCACTACACAACCCAGAGTTTATTTGTATGTTTGCTTTTTGAAGCATGAATTTTCTTCTGTAGGGTATTGTTTGGTGTAAAAAATATAAGAAGAAGAAAGGTTATGATTTCTCTGTATGGCCCTTGGACAAATGCTACTACCACTACTCATGCTTATTTCACTAATAGTTACTATTTACTAATGCTAATATGACAGAAATAGCTTTTTTCTTTTATTTCTGTATAATAAACAGTTCATAGATTGATCTGCATAAAAGTATTACCCATGCTTCTGTTGAGCAATTATATGACATTAAGAGGAGTAGCTGCACTGGTTGGAATTGGCACTTGAGAAAAAAATACTGAAATAAATGTACATGTATTTTATTATTGCAAGATTTGATACCTTAAATTCTGACAAGACATAAATACATTTACTTACTTCCCTCTCTGCTGGACTGAAGTTTGACAGATATTTGAGTGCTTTTGTTTGATGTACAGCATTGGGAGGAACAGCTGCAGGGTCGATGTAAGGCTTGCCCTTTTTCAAGACATACATAATCCTTTTCCAGTTTGTGCAGGCAACCTGTGTTTAAAAAAATGTTGAGTTAAGAGTTAAAACTTCAAATTAAATTCAAATTAAACCAGCAGGCCTTGGTCAGAATGCTTCCCTGGCAAATCACTCTTTTTGCTTGCTGGTGGAATTTCAAAGAGAGGGGCCACTTCGGGAAGAACAAACACTACATGGCTAAATGGACTTCATTCCTCAACCCCTGCTCAAACTACATAGTCCTGAACCCACATTCAGAACTAAATTGCTGCAAAAAGAATGTGTGTAACATTTTCGTTAAGTTTATAGTAATAACAATGAAGTCCCAGACTTGGTGTTATGTGCTTCGGGCACATTATGATTTTTGTCCATTTCTTTTCTTTGTTTCTTATAAACTTTAGTTGAAGGATCTTTTGTTAATATATTTTGGGATTCTTTTAGCAAGTTAATTATGTTAATTTGTGGTGCTGTCGTCCGCCTATAAATAGGCTGGCCTTCAGCACGTTAGCGCGTTCCTTTCCAACCTCGTTTGGACGCCACTTCCCACCTGCTTCATTTGCTCCATCGTGCGCGGTGCGCACTTGTCTTGTCGCTGCGGCCTGCAGCGGACGTTCCAACCTGCCATGTGGTATTTTTGTTAACTTTTTCTTACTTTTTTCTTGAGGTTTTTGGCTTGGCGGGACCGGTAGTCCTGTTTTCGATTTTTCTTTCGCTTAGGTTATTTTTTACCTTTAGTCCGGTACCAGTAGGGGCTTCGACGGCCCTGTATAGGGTTGGCCCCCTGCTGTACCGTTTTATTCTGTTCGATCGGCCTGCCAGGTCCAACTTTCTGTTGTTACTTTGGGTTTATTTATTTTTTTTTTGGGGCACGGGATTTGAGGGCCGTTAACTATTTTTCTCTTCGCAGAACATCTGAAGAAGCCGAACCAAGAACAACTAAAACGGAGAGAATTTATTAATAAAATATATTTTTTTGAACCCTCATTTTTGTCTCGTGTCCTCAAATATGTTGTGTCCTTGGTGGGCGTAACATATTTTTGGGGGCTTGTTTAAACAAAGTGTGCCTTTTAGAGACAGGTCGTGTCCTACGGTTGGTTCTTGTTTGTTGGCGGTTGTGCTGGGTTTGTGTGTATTTTTGCGCAGCTGACGCGCGTTGCGCTGATTAGTTAGAGCATTCGGTTCTGGTGGTGCTGTAGCTTCATTTGTGCAGAGGTGTTCCTGATTTGGTGTGGCTTGATTCCAGGGGTAGACATGGAGTTTGACCTGGATGAGTTTGTTCGAGGGCCCACGTTGGATACTTTGCGTAACTGCACAAAGGATCAGTTGCTGTTAATAGCCGAGCATTTCAAGGTTACCGTAGATAAACGCGTTAAGAGGGGAACAGTTGAAGCTGAGTTGTTAGAAGCGCTGGTGCAGATAGGAATTTTTCCTGCTACAGTTTTTCCGAAAAGTCTTGTTGGATCGCCATCGAAGGCTTCGTTGAAAGATGACCCGGTGCGTTTGAAGGAACTGGAAGTTGAATTGGGTCGGCTTGCTTTGAGAGAAAAGGAGCTGCATCTTGAACAGCGACGATTAGAGATACAAGCCGAACTGCGTTTGAAGGAACTCGAGCTTGGTGCTGAGTCCTCAGAAATCGACTGATTTTGACGTGAGTAGAAATGTTCGCCTGGTTCCTCTATTTAATGAGCGGGATGTTGATAAATACTTTACTTTATTTGAAAGAGTGGCACTCACACTTAAGTGGCCCAAAAATGTGTGGACTTTGTTGTTACAGTGTGCATTAAGTGGCAAAGCGCAGGAGGCGTATGCGTCTCTTTCTGTGGCTGATAGCCTTGATTTTGAAAAAGTTAAAAGTGCTGTTTTGAGGGCATATGAACTAGTACCAGAGGCTTATCGTCAGAAATTTCGTAAGTTAAAAAAACGCTACAATCAAACTTATGTGGATTTTGTTAGAGATAAGGAAATTCTCTTTGATCGTTGGTGCGCTTCTAAGAAGGTTGCCGATTTTGCGCAGCTTAAGCAACTTATTTTGTTGGAAGACTTTAAAAATAATTTGCCTGAGAAAGTTACCACCTACTTGAATGAAAATAAAGTCTCAAATGTGTCAGAAGCTGCGGTGCTCGTTGATGAGTACATGTTAACGCACAAAAGTAATTTTTTTTTTTTTTTTTTTTTGTTTTTTTTTTTTTTTTTTGTTTTTTTTTTTTTTTTTAGTAAGTAATTTTGAGCGCTCACATCTCTTTAGTAAGTTTGACCACTCTGAAAATAATGGGAAGGAGTGGGCCAAAACTGCCTCGCTTGTTGAAACAGATGTATCTGCTGCGCTCGGTGGCGTGGGAGGCAAATCGGATAACAGGTTGGAATTAAAAACTAATGGGACGTGTTTTTATTGTAGAAAGGGTGGACACGTTATAGCCAATTGCCCGGTTTTGCAGAAAAAGAACACTAAGCCCGTCGCTCTAATTAAAACTGTGAAAGACGATGTTCATCCGCTTTCAACACAGCCTTGCGAGTATGCTGATTTTAAGCCTTTCATTATGGATGGATTTGTTTCTTTGTCTCTAACTGGTGAAAAGATCCCTGTAAAAATATTACGAGACACTGCTGCCTCTCAATCTTTTATTATGGAGGGAATCTTGCCGTTGAATAACGACACTGCGATTGGCTCTGATGTTCCAGTGCGTGGTTTTGGCATGCAAGAAATCTGCGTTCCTCTGCATAAAATTGTGATCCAGTCTGAGCTGTGGTCTGGTGACGCTGTGGTTGGGGTGCGTCCTAGTTTTCCAATAGCGGGCGTCTCCATGATCATGGGCAACGATTTGGCTGGGGGTCGAGTATTGGTTACCCCAGAGGTTACACCTGTTCCGGTGTTGAGCGACTGTCCAGATGCGCTCGCCCGTAAATTCCCAGGTGTTTTCACGTCATGCGCAGTTACGCGTGCAGCACTTAAACGACATCAAGCCGAGAGGAAAGATGAGTTTGACTTGAGTGGAAGTTTTTTGTTCAACGCTGAATCCGAACATGTTCCATTGAAGCGAACTGTGGAGGATGACATGTTGGATGTGAATACGCTATCATGGTCTAGGAAGCAGTTGATCGAGCTCCAGAAAAGTGATAAGAGTTTGGAGTCATTGTTCGGCGATGCATTAACTGATAAGCCTGACTCCATTTCTACTGGCTATTTTTTGGATGATGGTCTTCTGATGCGTAAATGGACCCCTTTGAATGTGTCTCCTGTTGAAGAGTGGAGTGTGGTGAAGCAGATTGTTGTTCCATCTCCATATCGTTCAGAAATTTTGCGGTTGGCACATGATAATCCGTTAGCGGGTCACCTTGGCATCAGAAAGACCTATGATCGCATTTTGCGTCATTTCTTTTGGCCAGGATTGAAGAGCGATGTCGTGCGCTATTGTAATTCGTGTCACTTTTGTCAAGTGTCTGGAAAGCCAAATCAGACGATTTCTCCTGCTCCTTTGTATCCCATCCCAGCCATCACTGAACCATTTGAGAGAGTATTGGTTGACTGTGTGGGTCCGTTGCCTCGAACCAAAGCGGGGAATAAATTCTTAGTAACGGTGATGTGCACCTCTACTCGTTTTCCAGAGGTTTTTCCGGTGCGTAAAATAACTACGCCCGTAGTGGTTAAAGCATTGACAAAGTTTTTTTCATTGTTTGGTTTACCTCGGGTTGTGCAGACTGACCAGGGGTCTAATTTCATGTCTAGAGTTTTTGCACAGGTTTTACGTCAATTGGACATAAAGCACTATCATTCCAGCGCTTATCACCCAGAGAGTCAGGGCGCACTCGAGCGTTTCCATCAAACTTTAAAAACAATGCTTCGCACCTACTGTTTGGAGTTTGAAAAAGACTGGGATGAAGGTGTACATTTACAAATGTTTGCTATTCGGGAGGTGGTTCAGGAATCTCTGGGGTTTAGCCCGTCGGACTTGGTTTTTGCTCACACTGTTCGCGGCCCTTTAAGGCTGTTGAAAGAGAAGTGGTTGTGTGACAAATCTGACCTGAATTTGTTAGACTATGTTAGTAATTTCCGGATGAAGTTGAATCGTGCGTGTGAGATTGCTAAAGAGAATCTTAAAACTGCACAGGCTAAAATGAAGTCCTTGTTTGACAGAAGGGCAGTTTTGAGAGTTTTTCAGCCTGGGGAGAAAGTGTTAGCGTTACTTCCGGTTCCTGGTTCCAGCTTGCAAGCGCGCTATAGTGGGCCTTATACAATCACGAGAAAGGTTGGTAATCGTGATTATCTGATCTCTACTCCTGATCGGAGGCGCACTTCACGCTTATGTCATGTGAACATGCTGAAGCCGTACGTCGAACGTGCATCTGCTCTGCATAAATCTATCAGTTGTGTTTCCAGTAAACGAGATGACGCAGATGTCGGGGCAGCTGCAGATGCACGGGAGGAGCTGTCCGGTGCTGAACCTGAAGATGACGTTTTCTCCCCGGCTGTTACTGAAGGGAGGGTTCCAAATTCAGCGGTGTTGGGGAACTTGCCTCTCTTGTTGTCACACCTTGATTTTTCCAAGCAGGCTGATGTGGTTCATTTGATCCAGTCTCATAGGTCTCTGTTTGCAGATATTCCCACTCAGACTCGTGTGCTCAGCCATGACATTGACGTTGGTGATTCCAGGCCAATTAAACAACACCCGTACAGAGTGAACCCAGACAAACGGCGCCGTTTGCAGACGCAGGTGGAGTACATGGTGGAACATGGACTTGCTGTTGCCAGCAGTAGTGCGTGGAGTTCACCATGTCTCCTGACTGTTAAAGCCAATGGGGAGGACCGTTTTTGTACGGACTTCAGGAAGGTAAATGGGGTGACTAGGCCGGATTGCTATCCACTCCCTCGTATGGAGGATTGTGTGGACCATGTGGGGGCTGCCCAGTTCGTTACGAAGCTGGATTTGCTAAAGGGGTACTGGCAGGTGCCCTTAACGGCGAGAGCCCAGGAGATTTCCGCCTTTGTCACACCCGATGATTTCCTTCAGTACACCGTGATGGCTTTTGGGATGCGTAACGCCCCAGTGACGTTTCAACGGCTAATGAATGTTGTTTTGTCGGGTTTATCATTCTGTGAGGCTTATTTGGATGACGTGGTGATTTGTTCTGCTACCTGGACTGAGCACGTTGACCATTTAAAAACTGTTTTTACGCGTCTGAGTGAGGCTAATTTGACGGTTAATCTTTCTAAATGCCAATTCGGCCACGCGACGGTGACCTATCTTGGAAAAAGGGTCGGGGGAGGTCAGGTGCGCCCCGTTGAGGCTAAAGTAGAGGCTATTCTTTCTGTCCCAGTGCCCACCACTCGTACTGAGCTACGCCGCTATCTGGCGATGGTTGGCTACTACAGGGGGTTTTGTAAAAACTTTTCCTCTGTGGCTGCCCCGTTGACAGACCTACTTAGCCCTAAAGTGGCTTTTATTTGGTCTGATCGGTGTCAATCTGCTTTTGAGCAAACTAAGCATTTGCTGGTTAATGCTCCTGTGTTGTCTGATCCTCGTTTTGATGTACCATTTAAGTTGTCTGTGGACGCTTGTGATTCTGGTGTCGGAGCTGTCCTGCTCCAGGATGGTACTGATGGGGTGGAACATGCGGTTTCTTATTTTTCTAAGAAACTGGATAAGTATCAGAGATGGTATTCCACCATTGAGAAGGAGGCATTAGCGTTGATCCTTGCTTTGGAACATTTTGAGGTGTATGTTGGAGGTTCTAGCGGATCTGTGGTTGTTTTTACGGACCATAATCCGTTAGTTTTTCTGGCTCGCATGCGGAATAAAAACCGCCGCTTGATGAACTGGTCTTTGCGACTCCAATCCTTTAACATCTCTATACAGCATGTTCGTGGTAAAGACAACGTAGTGGCCGACGCACTCTCGCGTCTCTAGTCCCGTTTGTTTTTTTCTCTGAATGGGTTGGGGTTTTTTTTTTACTTCAGACCCCATTCAGAGTCTTTGGGTGGGGGTGTTATGTGCTTCGGGCACATTATGATTTTTGTCCATTTCTTTTCTTTGTTTCTTATAAACTTTAGTTGAAGGATCTTTTGTTAATATATTTTGGGATTCTTTTAGCAAGTTACTTATGTTAATTTGTGGTGCTGTCGTCCGCCTATAAATAGGCTGGCCTTCAGCACGTTAGCGCGTTCCTTTCCAACCTCGTTTGGACGCCACTTCCCACCTGCTTCATTTGCTCCATCGTGCGCGGTGCGCACTTGTCTTGTCGCTGCGGCCTGCAGCGGACGTTCCAACCTGCCATGTGGTATTTTTGTTAACTTTTTCTTACTTTTTTCTTGAGGTTTTTGGCCTGGCGGGACCGGTAGTCCTGTTTTCGATTTTTCTTTCGCTTAGGTTATTTTTTGCCTTTAGTCCGGTACCAGTAGGGGCTTCGACGGCCCTGTATAGGGTTGGCCCCCTGCTGTACCGTTTTATTCTGTTCGATCGGCCTGCCAGGTCCAACTTTCTGTTGTTACTTTGGGTTTCTTTTTTTATTTTTTTGGGGCACGGGATTTGAGGGCCGTTAACTATTTTTCTCTTCGCAGAACATCTGAAGAAGCCGAACCAAGAACAACTAAAACGGAGAGAATTTATTAATAAAATATCTTTTTTTGAACCCTCATTTTTGTCTCGTGTCCTCAAATATGTTGTGTCCTTGGTGGGCGTAACACTTGGTTTCACACGACCACAAAAGACAAAAGCCTCTCGGCTACTGTAGGACATCAACACAAAAACATATCTAACAAAATGGCCTGGGTTAAGCTTTTCTAAAGGTTGAGAAGCCTAATTTTTCCAAAATAGAGATCAACAGATGATGCAGGTCACGTTAGGCAAAGAGTTTCCAGCTAAACAATTGTTTGGTTTTAATTTTTTATCAACACTGTGTTAACTGTAGAGTAAGCAAGCTAACAAGAAGCTAATAGTGAATGTATGCTATGTCATGCTGACATGTTTGGGCTTTTGTTTATATGTGCTAAAATAAACTTAATTTCACTGAAGGTTTAAGCACTAATATAATTTTAACATTTATGTGTTTTCTGATATGCTTATTACATTTGACTGCAAGATCTGATCAAGAATCCCTTTTTAATTCAGTCATCTCATGTCTTCTATATACATGTACCAACCACATTGTTTCACCAGGTGATTATTTTAACTACCCATCAGAAACAATCACAGAAGGCTAAGAATCAATCTACTGATATCTGATTTAGGAAAATCATTTAATAAAATATTTTTTTTACCAAATAAAGTTGTTGAAAATTAATTTCCTTTTATTTTCAGTTTTAAATAACTGTTACATCTATTCATTTCTTAATCTGTCTTCTCTTCTGTGAAGATCAGCCAAAATGGACATTCTCATGCTGGCATATGGTGGCCAGAGTGGCTCCAGCATCACGTTATATGTTAACACTAGATGTCCCAGAGAATTTCAGTTTCCCTGCAAGCTCCCCTCCCCTCTTCAAGTTTGTTTATTCACTCTATCTTGCTAACTGTCCTTGTTGCAATGCAAATAACCTGTGATATGACCAGCCCTTCTACAAGAGACTGGATAAAGGCTGAAACAAACTGGCATCATAACAAGAGCATGCTCCTAACACTTTTCATTACCTCCCCCTGCAACATCAGACCTATAAAATAGGTATAAATAAATAAATAAATAAATAAATAAATAAATAAATAAATAAATAAGCTAATAAGTTAAGATTTGTAATCCTTAGCCTATTACCAAATATTCATATACAGTGTAGTCTGCACAAGAATCGATTTCAGTGGTTGTAATATTAGTGCCAGTAATCCAATAATAACTTATTACAGTAGTTCCCTATAGATTATATTACCTGAACTGCATAGAATAATTACTAACCATAGCTGTGAAATTCTTAATTTACAGTATATTTAAGATGCAAGTATTTTAGTAGGGCCCATACATCTTTACTTCAGTTCTCCGAAAATTACCAGAATGTAGAAAATACTGTATACTGTGTGAAAAATGTTCCACATAACTACGTATCACTTATTGTTACTCAGTAACATTTACTGTGCTATAAAAATTCAAGATTTTACAAGTTTTTTTCAGTTAAATCGTCTGAAAACCTTCATCCTATAGCTGCACCTTGTCGTCATCTAACCCTAACAAGGTTGCATGTCAAAATTATTTCAAAATCTCACTCCATGATTTGGTTGGCAGCCCTTCTGCACCTGCTGAGCTTACGCCATCAACCAATGTTGCTCAGGAAAAATATTTCAGTTGTCTGATGCTTTCCTCTCCTGGACTGCCTAAAATAAATATGTGAGGTAAGTACATCCGTCCAGTTTAAGTATTTTAGACACCATTGTAATTTAATTGTTTCTTGGAGTTTGCCAAGTTTGTTAACTAGTTTTTATTAGCTTTATAGAAATCCCACCAGTAAAGTTTTTACCGAGCATTTAATTTTTAGGAATTTATTCCTGAATTTGTGCAAAGTTAGTAAAATGGATGACATATTCAGGTGTGGAAAGGTCGAGCACCATTAAGGGGCTATGTGCTGCACTGCAGCTAGCCTCATAGTGATGACTAATATATTTCTAAGTTTATTGAAACTGACTGCAAGCAAACAACTACTAGTTATGGAGCACTTGCGGTGATTTTTTTTTTAATCAAGGAGATGGTGGCCCTACCAATATTACTGTTTTTAAAGCAGTTACCTCTTCTATTCAAAATTACTTATGTGCCAATATCCGAGTCAAGATTCCAAAGAACTAATAGCTCCTCTGAGGAGTTATGTTGTGTAAGGAGATGTGGTAATGACAGTGTAATGACAATAAAACCCTGAAATGTATGAGCCCAGTTTTACACACAGACAGTTGGGCATATAATATAACACCACACACAAAAATTTAAGAAACATAGAAAGGCTTTTTTACAAGTTTAAGAAATGTGCTTGCACATATTTTTTAACAATCTCCCAGGGATTATTTTTAAGGTCTCACCATAAGGCACTGGTTCCCAAAGAGACCTTTCAAGAGTTGAATAATTATTAATTAACTGCTGTTAACCATATTGCAATAATTAAAGCACAAATCTTCTTTAAATCACAAAACCATCACTTTCAAAGTTTAAATATTTTATATGTAATATTTTCGCCGAGGCCGTAATAGTTCACAATATCAAGTAAAAACAAAATGTTCAAAAGTATTGTATAAAAACATGTAAAAGAAAAACATCAGGAAAAAAAAGAATTAATGAGTTTAATGAGTACAATGAGTAGGTTGCATTTGGGTGGATGTTACCTTAGGAATATAACAGTAGAGAATTTTGCGGCTGTCGTCCACAATGAAGTTCCCAAAGTTTTTTGCTGTTGTAAGTATTTTGCCAGAAAGTGCCTCTTTGCCAAGCTCACACATCTTTCTTCTTATCTCCGTTCTCAGTGTTTGTCTTAATGCCACATTCTTCCCTGTTATGGACATGGAAACTCTTGAGAACAAAACATGTTAATCTTGCTGAATCCCCCAGATAAGAGCCCACACACCAGGCCGACCGACAACCTTGGTTGGGCCCGTAACAAGAAAATTGGAAGTGGAACCCCACACATGGCATTATATAAATTTAACTAAATCACTGTAGTATTGGGGAATCTAATAAAAATATTTGTTAAGATTTTGAGTAGATTTTAGACTGTAGCATTGAGGAATCTAATAAAAAATATTTGTTAAGATTTTGAGTAGATTTTAGACTGTAGCATTGGTGAATCTAATAAAAAATATTTGTTAAGATTTTGAGTAGATTTTAGACTGTAGCATTGAGGAATCTAATAAAAAATATTTGTTAAGATTTTGAGTAGATTTTAGACTGTAGCATTGGGGAATCTACTAAAAATCTTTGTAAAATCTTGGTGACGTCATTCTCAAAAATTTACATTTTCAAAAATTTACATTTTCAAATATTTTTTGCGGCATGTGCCAAATAACATTATAAAAGTTTGCAGCAGATAATTGTAGAAATACAATCTACAAAATGCAATCTTTTTTTTTTTAATAAAAATAACAGTATTTATTTATAAAGCAAGAGATAAAATTAAATTATGTTGAATTTGGCACATGGGCATGTGGTAAATTCATGTGTAAAATAATAACTAATAATCAAATTAAAACATATTTTTCTAAGTGTTTGTTTAGTTAAGTTTTACCTATTTCTAATTATTTGATGCATGTAAAGTTAAATAGAAATTTCCACGTTTAGCCCCTCTTTAATATTTTTAATTTGTGCCACTTTGGCTTTTTTCAGAGCCCAGCAAAGGCTGTCAGGAGGAGAGAAAAAATTGAAGAAAAAAAGAACATGGAGGAGAAAAAAAAAGAAAGACAAAAATCAAGCTATATTATGTCTTATTTGAAAAAAGTAAGTAACTGACGATATAGTTGCAAGATCTTCAGTAGAAGCAGTATTTGAGTTAATGACACTTTAAGCAGTGGGATACGAAACAACACTCACACATTAAACATACCTGTATTTTGTTGCGGCAGATCGATGTTGTTAAAGTGCAAAACAAGGAAAAACACAACAAAAAAAAGCATAGAAATAGGGAATGTCAGTTTGCATCCCCTCATCAATTTGTATCCTATGTGCATGTTGACATATATCAAAAAAAGGTGAGCGCCACTGACTTCTTTTTTAATATACAGGTAGTTTTATGACAGCAGTTCTATAACCACAGATTTATGGACACGCCTACATTTTATAAATAGGTAGGTGTGCTTTTAATCTAATTTGATGTAAGGCTTTTTATATTAAGACTAAAGTGTCTCAGTAACTAAGCCCTTTTTTGACATGCCACAACAGTGACAAAGCAACGTAATATGAGAAAAGAAACCCTTGCAAAACTGCTGTAACATACAGTATGTTGTGCAAAATAATATCCTGCAGATAATGAATAAATGATTAACTGGAGTTATAGTTAATTATTTAACCTATTCAAAATCGGAGGTGAAATAAATTTAGTGTTCTTAGTTGAATAATTGTAGCTTTAATTTACTTACTTACCAGGGATTGTGGTTTCACCTCTGGAGGGTTCCTGGACCGGCTGTTAAAATCCAGGTATCCCCACAAATCTAGTGGCCCAGGCTAAGTTATCAGCAGAGCTATTAATCGTCAATAAAGAACCTTTTATCTCTGTTTATTCGCACTACTACCAAAAAGGGGGTGGATCTGACCTGCATGATAAATCATCCGCTATACTGAAAAAAAAAATAAAAATAAGATTTACTTAGAAAATATATTGTAAGTATTTGCACTCAAATGATTTAAGTAAAATTTAATGCTGCAATATCAAGTAACACTCACTAGCCAGTATCAAGTGAATTTTACTTTCCATTAAACATAACAGTTGTGAAGATATTAAGTAACATTTACTTAATTACATCCAAGTTGTAAGTTAGATTTATTAAAACAAAATAAGTAAAATGAAATGCATTTTATTCAAAATTTTAAGTAAATGTTATATCCCTGTAGAATTTGCCATTATGAAGTAATTAAGTAGATATTAATTATTTTCTCTGATTGACATTTACTTTGCTTCATTATGTTACATTACTCACTAATATTAGGTAACCATAGCCATTTTTCTTTTGATAAATGTTATCAAATAAATTGAAATAAAAGTCTATACATTTTATATACATTAAACTATTTTTCATTTTAAACAGTTTAACAAAGTAAATACACTATTGTTTTAAATTTTCCAATCTTTCATGGGCCAGCCAGAAATTTGACAGTCTAACTGGAATTGTACTATTCAAATAGGCAATAAAAAAAGTAAAACCCTCTAAAACTCAATTTCCAGATTTATTACAGAAATGTACTCATGTAAGATCAAGAATATTTAACCTACACAAACATGCTCAAAATAACCTCCGGGCGAGGATCAGAACTGAAACAGCCATTTAAACTTTGAGCAGTGGAGTATAGATTATGTATGCCTATATTTAACTGAAAAAAGCATGTACAAATATTGCATTATTATTAAGTGCATTTGTTGTACTGCATTATAATTTGTACAGAAAAAAGAGAAGTTTGGTATGACTTGTAAACAACAAATACACAGAATTAAATATACACCAATACAGTTTTGGTAATTAAAACATTTTTATTAATAAAAGAACACCTTGTTTTCCCTTCACTTTTTTTTGGCTTAACGCATAAAATCCCTGTGAAACACACTGAGGTTTGTCGTTCTATTGTGACAAAATGTGTACTAATCTGACTCTTCATCTTGCAATAAACATCCCATCATAAACCTTGGGCAAAGTTCTCCACAGACTTGGATGCATTTTAAGTTAACTGCAAATCTGCTCACTGTTATGCATTTGGAGATGTGGGCAGTTTACGTAACTTGCTCTACATTTAGGAAAAATCTGTTTGTACGACATCCCTCAGGATGCTGTTCTGAGGTTCAGGGTTTCTCTGTCTCAAACACATTTTGATTCGTTAGACAGTTAAGACAAATACTTTGAGTTTATATATATATATATATGTCTTTAGTCCCCCCCCTCCCCGTTTATATTTCAGCTATTTCTCATCTGAACTCAATTACTCTTTATAGTTACTGGAAACTGTTGTGAAAGCAACAGTTAATATAGTCACCACTCAAATCAGCAATAAAAATCTTACAAACCTACACATTAAAAGCGCAATTTCAACATTTGAACCAGTCGTCCAGACAAGTTTATTTTGAAGAATGCAATTTCGACAATGAACCAAAATCATTCTAACCATTCTCAATGAACATAAAAATCTCTACTAAATATTTGAGCATATTATTTTTTTGCCAAATAACATATATTATTTGAAAAGAAAAAGAAAACATTAATGACAATGCAACATTGCACTTACATTAACTGGAACCCACTTCTAATTCTTTGCATTTGATGCCACATTTGCCTCCTCTAAGATGAAAGCAACTTTAACTTCACGTTGTTTACTTTTGCTGATAGTTTGAATCCATTCAACTCCAGGAAAAGTTTTTGGAACACTTCAAAAGTGTAGTGCAAAGGGAGAGGGTATGCCATGTTCAGTGCATATATCAGTCCCATGAGCAGCCAGCAGGCTTTTGCAGTACTGTAGCATGGTGGTAAAATCTCCTGGCCTTCAACAAGGATGGAGACATTAACCGGATCCTCATCAGCACCGTGGAGAACAACAATCTTGTTGAAATCACACTGGTTGTCCTCCAATGCACAGCAGAAAATAATGTTTATTCTTTTATTTGATAAACAAATAAAAGAGCTGCATGAATCAAAGTGACTTATTTATTATGGAAGAACGAACACAACAATACCTCTGTTTGACTACTTTCTTCTTAACTTGAACATTTAAAGGGACATTGTGTAACATCTACTGTTAAATCAAATCGTTCAAAAATATTTTTTTATCAATCAGTAATTACACCCATCAACAAACTGAAGTGTTCTAATAAGCTCTGAATTCTGAGATATTATCCACTTTAATTTCAGCCGGTGACATCATCAAAATAAAGCGCTATCCGGAGTTAGCCGAGCGCAGCACCTCATTAATGCATCAAAAGAAAAGGAAATTGATTTGCTGTGAGTTGCCTTTGGTCCGTGAAGGAGTGGGGGGTTCCGAGGGAACACGTGGCCTGGCTCCGGCCGTGCGGATGTTCTTCAACACCAGATCCACTCTCGGGAAAGTTCTGTCAGTTTGATGCCACAGCAGAGGGCTTGATGTGCTCTTAAGTCGAGGAAGATTGAGTTTGTGGAAGCAAACAGCGGGAAGCGTCCCTCCGGTCGATCCTTACGAAAAAGGGGAAAACAAACTCCTCTCAGCAGTCAACTCCAGACTCTTCTGTCTCCCCAGTTAGCGCAGGCGCTATGCACGATGGAACACTGCGATCCGTGACTTTTGACGCAGGAAAAATGAAAGCTACTTCCAGTTAGCTTTCTTCGGGTATTTCACGTGAAACGAGCCTCTAATTAACGGGCAGTGACTCAGGGAAAGAGAAAGATAAGGTCTGCGCTCTGGGTTTTAAACCATGAGTTACGTGGGGGCACTTCCTGTTGAAGTATCGGCTTCATTCATCACCTGATTGGTCCGTGCTTGAGGTGACCGCCTCTTACAGTACTTTTTAAGGAATCATTTGTCCTCCTTGTGGAAAAGGAAAGGGGGATGGTTTCAGATGGTTCATCCAACTGATTTAGCTCCATTTTGGCAATATATCCCAACATGTATTTCAAACAATTATCCTCAGACAAGAGGAAATTGTTTCGAATGCACAAAAAACCCAAATAATTTTTTATTGAGATAATTTTCAGAAGGAATAAAATTTTAAAGGACTAAATTGATTTTGCTAATATACTGTATAAATAAATGTCCTATTTGGCTGTCTCCTTGTTCCAGACAAATCCATTGATCTCTGTTTATTTACCTGGAGTGAATAGTGAATACCTTTTCCCACAACAAGTGCCCTAGAACTTATTTCGTTCATGTGTTAATCTGTTTCTGTCTCCGTGAACCCCAGTTGGCCTCTGCAGATGGTCACTCACACTGAGCCTGGTTCTGCTGGAGGATTCTTCCTGTTAACAGGAGGTCTTCCTCTCCACTGTCGCTACATGCATGCTCATTGTGAGGGATTTCAGAGAGTCAATGAGTCCTTGCAATCAGTTGGTTCTCTTTAGAATTAAATATTCTAAAGAATATGATTGTAGTACCTGTATGAATAAAATTAATATTTTCTAATCGCAGCTTTTCTCTGTGTGAGTCTCTCCAGATAGAATTCTGAATTGAATGTATTAATCCATTATTAATGTAATTTAAAAATGTATTTTTAAATCACATTTCTAAATCGATATTTAAAAACCTCTATTCATAAATTTTATTTTAAAAACATTTCCTAATGACACATTAAAAAAAGGTTATTTTTTATATTCCTTTTCCATTTTCTTGTTAACCTGGCATTTTAAAATGCTTTCTGCAGTTGCATTTTCATTATGGTTTATCTTCTTTATTTTGTTTTCTGTGGCCCTTCTGGTCAAGCACAGTGGAAACCAGTTTAATCAATCATAGTTGCTCCTCCACAGATTTAACCAGTTCATTGTTCATTTGGTTCACCAAGTGTGGCGGTCTACCCAGTGAGAAAGTTTAACTGGTTTCCAGTGTGCTCTGGGATCTGTTGTCACAGAATAGGTAAATGGAGCAGGTTGTTCTACCCGGTCCTTTATTCCAATTGGTAGTAATCTCCATGTAATACAAAAAAAAAAAAAAAAGAAAGCCTTTTTTGGGTTAAACAGAGATTACTGATAATGAACAAATCAAACAGAAAAACAATTTCTATATCTCAAGCTTGGTTTTCTTCTATTCACAGAAGGAAAGAGACCCCCTCTCTTAGTTTTTACCTCCTTATATACTAAACCCACACCTGCTTAGGCTCCAACTGTCTCCAAGAATACAGTTTTTAATTTTGTCCCCGCGAGAAAAACCTAGAGACAACAAGCACAGGGATTGAGCTACTTCAGGCAAATTCGCAGGAGATAATCAAAGTGTTAGAAAGGGTTCAACAAGAGATGGCCAGAAAGACTACCGGTAATTGTAAACCATCCACACAGGAGTATTTTCTGAACAAAGGTAAATGTGTGGACAAGTTTTTTTGGATAATCTAAATGTAATGCATATGTTAAGCCAAACAAGAGAAGAAGTGCATCAGCCTATCTGGGGAGATTTCTCACAACAATGTCACCTTCGACAAACTGGATGGTGCCAGTGGAGTTTTCAGTTGCCACAGAGAGGAGTGCAACAGGAGTGTCCTCAATGTCCGGATCATCTTCCCATTGCAAAATACACACAGAAACATGCAAAAAAAAAAAGCTAAAGGTAATAGCTATTATTCAAGAGACTGCATTTGGGCTCCTGCACTGGAATTACAGTACAGCTTCTCATTCAGAAATAAAATTAGTACACATGGAGTCATAAAGATATTTTCTCTTTATCTTGACTCTAAATCTCAGTTAAATGTTATTTTGGGATTTTTTTTCACAAGAACACAGGCCCGGATGTAAG